CTTGGTGGTAGCACTTGAATGTATACATATAATATAAGGTAATGGGGGAAGGTGAGGTAGATCTGGGCGTCCTTTGGAGCTACTCACCTGGACCTGTGCTTGGTATTTGCAGTCGTGAGCCGGCATGTGTCCGTGACCCCCGAAAGACTCGCTTCCCCCGTGCTAGCATAAGACTCCAAAATGCAGCACCTAAATTGACTGTTCTTTGAGTTCTAAATAGACCTTAAAGCTCTCTTTAAACCTTAAACCCTGAACGTCTCTGAACAGGGGTTCTACAGGCTCCGTTTTTTTTTGGGGGGTGGCAAGGAACATTACTAGGTGGGTCCTTGTTTGGATAAATCCCATATGTAGGGCTTTGAAAATTCTAGTTGAGTTCTCTTGGGTGCTGAAAATCTGAAAGTTAGGCTCCGTATCATACTTGGCACCCCAAACCGGACCTTCAGAATATTGGAGTTATATAGGGATAATGGACAAATGGAAATTACTATAATGGGGTTATAAGTTATATTGGGGCTATGTATAAGGATACCCCTAGTGAGGCTGCATTTAGTTCTGCGCAGGGCTCGCGAGCCAAGGAGAGGGATCTGCGGCGGCAAATTGGCTTGCGGCACAGTTTGGCGGAAGACTGGTGCAGACGCTGGGTCGCTTCATGGAGGGGGTGGCAAAGACAATGGGAAAAGGGCTTGGGGATGATGATGCTTTGAGTAAAGGTGCGATAAATGCGTGGGCTTCTGGTTTCGGGAAGGGACCAGGTACCCTGAACGGACTACGCTAATTACAGCAGCTGCTGTTCCTCCTGCTGCCCTGCGATTACCACCATAGACAATCGTTATATTGTGAGGCCTAAGTGCATAGATAGGAACCCATTAGGCTCCCACTTGCATACTATTTAGATACTTGGACCCTTAGGGCTACACAAGCTCTCAACCCGAGCGCAAGGAAGGAGTACCTCTGCCTCTGCGAAGGGCCCACATTCGGTCCTGAAGGGTCCTTTGCAGAGCTCTCCTCGTCGCTGAAGAACATCCAGCTGAGCCGCTGGGTTTGGGAATGTATGCTCCCCCAAAACTCCCCTCTTGCAAGGACTGCAATGCGGCTGAATGTAAAACAGCTTGGGGGCGGCTGAGTCCTATTGGTGCTTAGATGCTTCGGGGACAGGGGAGTGGTTGCTAGAATAACGTCTTCCTAACTATATGTCATGTAAAGTTCCATCAGCCCCAAACCCTCAATCCTAGCAACTGTAAAGGCTGACTTTGTGGGGGGTGGGCGGGGGGTTCTCAGCATGACGGGACCCGCTGAAAAAAGGCTTTTCTCATGTCTCAGCTTCCCATTCTCTGAACTAGAGTCTAAACTCCTTAAAGGGGGTTATATAGGTGATTAAACTCCACAAGGGGGTTATATGGGGGATTAGGTGTGTATATATAGGGTTTAATTACGGTTTAAACTCCTGCAAGAGAGTTATATAATTAGGGGGTTCTATAGGGGAGTATTATAGGATGATAGGGGTTTATTAAGGGGGATACCACAATTTTAGACTATGGCTCATCCTATGACACGTGGGAGGGCCCTGATTCAGACACTCTCATATGCAGTCCTCTCTCCCAGCCTGCCCCCTAAACCCCAAAGCCTTTCCTTGCTGGTTCTTAGTAGGGAATAAGGGACTACATTGTACAAGGGTTTTGCAGGGGTTATATTCCCTTATTACTTATTGCTTGCTAATACTAATTGCCTACTAAGAGCCATGAGGTAAAGCCTTTGGAACTCTAACCCCTAAACCCGGGTTTAGGGTTAAGGTTTAGGGAGGGCCTTCTTGAAATGAAAGGCAGAGACACTTTCCGCGTGGAGGCCGTCACTGCGGGCGGGCGGCCAGCGCAAACCGTCGCTTGAGTGGATACTGTGGGGTTTGGAGGTTGAGGTTTGAGCGTCCAGGGGCTTACGGGAGTCTAGGGTGTATGAAATTGACTAACCTAAGTCCCCAAATAGCCCACAGTAGGTATAATATATTGACGGGCATATTTACCATGAGGGGTGAGGGCGTAAAATATAAGTATGACAGGACTACACGTGTGAGAAGCAACTGCAACTCCATCTGAAGCAAGATGCTACGTAGAACAAGCACCAGGTACTGGACACCTAGTGGCTGCAAAAGCTAACTTATGCTTGAGGCGGAGTGAGGGGATTGGGGGTGTATATATATGTACTATCACAGGGGTATGCTTGAGGTATATGGGGGTCCGCTCCCTCGCACCTCCACTAAAGCACAATCTACAATGGCTCATTTCCCGACAGTTGCCAGCTGACATGGGCTTGTCTTGCTCTTGTCAACTGAGCCGGCCCCCCTAAAACGTCAAACACGCATCCTTGTCTCTGAAATAGCTGCAAGGCTTTGAAGCTCCAGTAGCATCTGTTTTTGGACCTCTGGCGGCTGCGCCTGACGCCATGGCACTGGAGTTGGAGCAGACCCAGCATAATTATGACATGGAGTCGATGTCTGAGACGCACACCATGCTTCGGGGGGAGCAGAAGCTGCAGAGCAGATGGCCCAGGACCTTGCTCCTAGCCGCCGGCTTCCTGGCCCTCACGGCAGTGGTCGTGGCTACTGCGCTCTTCGCTTCCAGGCCAAAGACCAGCCTCCGCAAGTCTAGTGGCTCAGTGGTCCAGTTGTCCGATGATTCCGTTTGGGCCGACGTGTTGTCCTCGAACGCAATGAAGCAGTATGAGCAGGGGAAGGAAATGGCAAAAGAGGCTGACAAGGGAGCGTCTGAGGCCGTCGAAAGTGCTAAGAACAAGGTTGAAGATGCCATCAACAACATGGGTTCTGGTGCAAGTAAGGTTGTCAGTGATGCGCAAAATGCCATGAAGCAGAAAGCCGACGAGGCGACAGGCGCCGCAAAGAATGCTGCCAAAAAATTGCAGAAAGCTGCCAGCTCTGCAGCTGAGACAGCGCAGAAGTCCCCGACGCAGGCGGAGGCGGATGCCGCCGCAGCAGCTAAGGCACTCATGCAAAGCCTCATGGGTGGTGATGATTCGTCCAGGGAAAAGATGATCAGCGCAGCCAAGGCTCCCGCGCCTGCCGCCCCCGTGCCGGCCCTGACCCTCGGTGCAGTGAAGATTCCGGCGCCTCCCAAGCTGCCTAGCATTGCAATGCCAAAGATCCAAACTCCTGTCACCCTCCCAGTTGCGGCCCCTGCTGTTGGCGCTGTGGAGCCTCCGGCTCCCAAGCCAACAGATGATCCTTCCAAGTCTGCTCTGGCTCCCCAGGTAGCCAGCAGTGACCAGGATCCCTGCAGTTCTGATCAGGAGCTTTCGGGTGGCTTGTGTTATGCCAAGTGCTCCCTGCTGACTCAAGGCTCCCACCCGTGCCGAAGTTCCGCGTGGTCCTGCTGTGCAGTGGCTGATGGTCCCAGCTGTGCCGAGAAGGCATCCATGGAGAGTTGTTGGGTTCATCCTGGCTTTTGCTTCGGCTACGCCGTGGCCGGCATGGAAGAAGCAAAGCAGCAAGGCTCCAACTGCCCAACGAATCTCGGGGGCTGCCTGGTCAACGAGGAGATGTTTATGTCTCAGTGCTATAAGAAGTGCAGAGACCTCACTGGTGGCACGCATACCAAGCGCGTTGGTGCTGCCACCTGCTGTAACAAGGGCAGTGACTTCGAATGCTTGTGGCCAGGAAACCTCAAGAGCGACCCGAGCTACAACGTCGGTGGCGGCCTGGGCGACCACAACTCAGGCACGCCCTCGCACTCGCACCTGCCCATGAAGTCTCTCGCGCAGAGTGACTAGACATTCCAGGCCGAAAGCGCCTGAGTCGTGTTTCACCCTCTGACAGCACTTGAGTGTAGGAGTTACAAGGGGTTTGCTCGAATTAGGAAAGTAAAAGGGGTTCAAATTTTTTTGGAAGCTTCAAGAGAATCTGCAGAAAGGGATGCTGGCACAAGGACGTAGGTCAATGGATTTGCCAGCTAAGTTTCGACCTGGCTTAGGGTTGAGGTAATCGATCTGGAAAGAATGCAACTTCAACTTGTAAGTCTGTACCAATGAACCGCTTGCTGGGAAAAATGCCATTCCGGCCAATGCTGCGGACGAGCGGGTGTTTTCAAGAATGGGGTCCCCCTGTGTTAAATTCCTGCTTATAGAGACGCCAGAACCGGGTCCCCGGACTTTGGAAACACCAATATGGCAGACTTGGCGCGCAGTGACGGGTGGTCGCTCAGCTTCCCGAAGCACACTTTCAGCAGTTTTTTTGTCGATTCATACAGTAAAGCTTGCCAACTAAATTCTACACAGTTCTGGATAGAACTCCTACTGTACCATCCCTGTGTATTCTCTCGCAGGGTCCTCTAGGACCGTAGGATGCACCATCTGATAAAACTAGAGCTGTTCACAGTCCTCCTGCTACCGCTTGAGTGGAGGTTGACTCTAATCCCTTTGACCGACTTACCACATTTCTTTTACACTTTAGCAGGTAACCAGTTCTGCGTGCTTGGGATTGCGCGGTCACTCCCCACAACTGGATCATTCTTGCAAATCGGTTTTAGGGGTTAATCAAAAAGGAGTCTTCCATATGCCTGGTGCCACTTTCTGCGCTCAAGGGAGCTTTAATTGACTTCGCAGTCTGGAGATATTTGGGTGGCCTCAAGGGAGCTTTAAGTGGCTTCGCAGTCTGGAGATATTTGGGTGTCTGGATATTCCGTTCTTCGGATAGTGTGGAGCATGATAAGTTTGTGTGTTGCAGGAAGGGGCCCGTAAGTTGTAACTTGGGTTATCAGAGACAAGTATAGTAAGCTTTAAGTGTCATGAACCATCGCAGGCGCAGTTTTAAGTATAGCCGCCTACGTACGATTTGCAAGTCCGGAGCATGTGCAGCTCCCGTCGCGCCTACAGTCGCGGACCCATCAGCACACACAGTCTCTGGGAGCAATGCTCCGGGTGGCTCTGATGCATGACGGCATGCGGACAACGATCAGAGTACATTCTGATGCTTGTATGCAGAATTCCCGCGCCAACGCAAAGACGTCTACTTGTGTACTTCCCGCGCATGTGCGGAAAATGTGTATTCAGCCTCAGCTGAGCTGTTTTGCAGTTAGCTCATAGAACAAAACTTCAATTCCAGCTCAGCCAGCCAAGGCAGACGTAGTCCATCGGTTGCCATTACGTTGTTCGTATCTGCAGCGACAGCGCTCAGAGATGGAACAAACATCGTCCATGCCAAACGCCAACTTGCCCTGCCTACCCGCTCCCCTGTACTAAACAGGCCAATAAAAAACGGTCGACCTTCAAAAAGACCTAGACCCCAAAGCGCTAAACCCCTAAACCCCCAAAAAAGACCTAGACCCCAAAGCCCTAGACCCCTAAACCCCCTAAAAGAGACCTAGACCTCAAAGCCCCAAACCCCTAAACCCAAAGCCCTAGACCCCTAAACCCCTAAATCTCGAGCACTGGATAGCTCAGCCAAGGTGGTGCAGGTGACAGCGTGCTACTTGATGGCGTCGAGCGAAGGTGCTGGGGGCCATAATACAGGGGCCCAAGAGGGTACTATAGGGGCCTAAAGAATTACCAATATTATGGTACATTATAGTATATTATGGTATATTATAGTATATTATGGCCTAAATAACTACCAATGTTACATGGTGTGTGGTTTCTAAAGCCAATGGTGAATTGGGGGGCCTGGGGATATGGGATATGTGGTAGTTTCCCTAAATAGGTCAACTCCAATATAGACCCCAAAATACTATACTATACTCCTTATCATGGGGACCCCCAAAAAGATACCCTTCATTTTGGGAACTACCCATGTAGGAATTTATTTGAGGAGGCTACAGGAGTCCAGCCTAAGGATTACATATTTTTCTTTGTTGATACATTCACATACGACGTAATCCCTTCCTACTAGTATTCAACACCCTTCGCCCCGCAATTTTAAATACTCTTTAGAAGAAACCTGACATATCGGGTGACATGGTTAAAATACTGGCGGCTTGGTGTTTTGTATGAGTATCCTGGGACTATTCATTTTTTGAGGAGACTGCGTGATTGGAAAATCAAGACTGGTACTAGGAATGCTATAAACGACATGTAGAGCTTAGGATTTTTCTAAGAATGCCATTAAACGTAATGTAGGGACCAACTCGGGATCCTTCATGTCGTTTTTGTTGTGCCAAATGGGTGTCCAGAATTTCAAGGGGGGTTCTGAGGAGTCCTAACAAGGACTAGCATTTTGGGATCTATGCCGGGGCCCGTTTTATGGAAACTTCCGGCTACAAATTTTGAGTTTCCCATGTTGGGTCTCAGGTGTTAGGTGGGTTCACCTTGCCAGGTGGTAATCCCCTGTAAGGCTCGAATAGGGCTGGTGCGCAGGTATTGGGGTGATGTGAGGTTTATGTCAGGGCTTTACAAACCTACCTACTGCCATGTACCTGGCAGACTCCTAACATATCTAGCGTCTTAGTAGCCGGGCAAGTTGCGCAACATATGTCCTTTAGTGGAGCATGCACGTGTTTCAGAGAGTTTGGTTCAGGGTTAGAGCTTTTTCTGTACAAGTCAAAAAGATGCCTGTCACAGGTGGAACATGTATTCCCTAAAAAACTTTTGGAACACCTATACCTAAACCCTAAGCCGTAAAACCCCCAAGGACATAAGCAGCAGGTGCAGGGGGGCATCCCGAGGACGAGCCCATTTGCTCGTTGTTGACGGTGTGGCCCAAGACGGGAAGGACCCTGGGGATCGGGGTGCCTTTTTCTCAGGCTACAGTCCCCCTTAAGAAGATAGAATATGGCTTTGGGAAAATTATATTGAGATCCTCATATACCCCAGATTCTATCCCTAGACCCTAAACCCTAAATGGTTTCCATTTTCTTTTCCATTATCCTTCTAGAATCCCAATAATATACACCAGATTCTATCTACTTAATGGGGACTATAGGGGGGACTTTGGGCGCAGATGGGGACCAGGAGGCTGGTAGAGTAGGTGTCATGTAAGCTGTAGTCTAAATTCCTAGAGCCTAGTATGCCCCTTAATAGACCCTGTAATATTCCTCTATATAATCCCCGAAAAAAAACCCTTTAAGGAGTTTAGACTGTAGGCGTCATGTCAGTTTAGAGGATTCTCCAGGTTGATTTTTCAATGGCTCCGGGTCATTCTTCAAGCCCTTACTCCTTGTTTGGGTGTGCCTAATGCGGGTTAAGGGTTTAGCGTACATGAGAATTTGAGGGTGCGAAAAATTTGGTATCCTCAGAGAAAGACCCATACTGGGCACATCAGTACCCATACAGCTGCATCAGCGATGTGATCCGAATTCTCAGACTTCTAGCTTGATTCGACATAGGGCTTGCAATCCCCTCCCTCTAATAATGAAATTACCCCCAACTTAAGATATACCCAGCGGTAAATTACCAGGAAACTGTCACTATCGGGACTTGATCATTACGTGGTTGGGGAGGTGCATACAGGGTCCCAGACCCCCGGGAGGATCTAGAAAGTAGAACCCCCAACATGGTACCCTATACTACTAGTAGGTAATTTCTAGAATCCCGTCTACTTTCTAGATCCGCCCAGGGGTCTGGGGTTGAGTGGTCCTGAGTGGTCTTTGGGAGTGGCCCAAACAGGAAGCTACCGACACCAAGGATTATGCAGGCCTCCGAAAGCAGGCCTTGTGATTATCATGTGATATTCATAGAGTCCTTATTCTGGCGGATGAGGCCAAAACCCAAAACCCAAAACCCCAAACCCTAAACCCTAAACCCATAACATAAAGGCATAGCCCTCTTCTCCCAACCGAGAATGGCTTCCTTGACTCCTTAACCTCTCTACGCTGTGGCACACCTCTTACCCTAAGGGTCCAAGGACCCAAATAATAGGGTCTTGGGGTCCAAATACCATAAATAGTATAGTATTTGGGCCCTAAAACCCCATTATTTGGGTCCTTGGACCCTTAGGGTTAATTACCGTTTACACTTTGCCTGGCGTGACCATTCCTGTGCTCAGAAGTCCTTTTATGGCTCGTCGTTCAAGGATCAGAAGGATCAATTAAATCCAGTCCCCATCAATGTGTATGTATAGCAAATGTTAGTTTGTATGGTATTTCCTCAGAAAGATCCCATAGAGCTCTCTTGATCAGAAAGCCCAAGCCCCACACCCATGATCTCGGAACCCTTAAACCCTGAATTCCTATAGCTCTCAAACCTCACACCCCGTAGCCCAAGCACAGGAAACACCAAATAAGGGCTCACCTGGCGCATGCTGGCCGTCCCATTGTTGCTTGGCCTAGGTCAGGGTTGCGGTGCTTTTCCATGGTTTCAGGGCAGGTTCAGGTTTTGCCTAGGTTTAGGCATGGCAAAAGCCCCAGTTATAACCTGGTAATATCCTTTTGTCTTTTAGTGCATAGTTTGAAAGCACAAGTTCTTTGCAAATTCTGGGGGGCCGCCACAGTGTAGAGCTTAAGTTTGAGGGGTGTAAAGATTTCAAGCAGAAGCCACAAAGTCGCAACACCAGAATCTCCTTACCCCAAAACCAAGTATGGAGAGAATATGTATATATATATATATCTATATCAGGTGGACGCCCCAGCCTGCAAAGTGGTATAGTTGATAGGCATATAATAAGAGGACCCTAATATGATCACCATTATCCTGTCCAGTCACTATTACGGGTGGGGGGGGCCACCTAAGAAATAGTCATTAAACAACGATTTTTTGCCATGCTCCAACTGCTTAGTCTTTCACATCAAACGGGAGCCACCCTCTTTTTCGTAGTTTAAGGAACAGTTCAGATGGTTTACCTG